CACACAGACAACCTCTCGTCAATATGCGTTTTTTGCATTGCATTACTGCAAAAAACGCATAACTAGCAGTACTAATCCAAATCGGCGTCTCCGAGGTCTGGCATGCGAAAAAACATGCAGAAGAGAGCCGTGAAAAAATAAGTGAGTGTGATTATTGCTACGTTGAAGAATACATAAGTAACTGGAGCAGTATTTGATGACGAGGTCTGGGAGTAGCAGCGTAACAACAAAAAGACATGATTCAAAAACCAAGCATCAGGAAAACATTTGCTGCAACAACAAAATTTATTTCGGCAGCACCAAAACAATATTTTTCGCATTTGCTTGTTCAGGAAGTTTTCACGGAAGCGTATTATTTGCTGCTGATCGGCGTAAATCCTTGCGTATGCTGCGAAACAGTCTGATGAACTGCAAAAATGAAACCAGTTAAAACCGTTGTGCAGACCTCGGTGATTTTACGAAATTTCCACTTTAAATCTGAGAATGGAGATCGGTCGGAACAATTTATCGAATGCTCTGGCCACGGGCTATACGGTTTTCTCGGGCAATTTCAATAAATACAAGGCTGTTGCCGTAACAAACGTCTTCAGAGGACCAATGTACGTCTAAAGCTGCAATTTCTTCCATCTCTTCAAGGCGATTTCGGTTAAAACGGATCTGGAGCATAAACGTTTCTGCGAAGAGGTCAGAAGAAGGGTGATAAGAAAGGAGCGAAACAAATTAGCTGATAGCAAGTTGCAGCACATCTTCATTGAAGTGCTGCGGTTCCGGTCTGACATCGGGTATAGTCAGGCCAGTGTAAACCAGCAAAAGGAGTTGGCTGACTATGTAACAAGAATGAGAGGCAAGAGGTGGATAAAGCGAAATGGGGGCTGTGTATTAATAAAAGAAAAGAGTAGGACATCAGTGCTTTGAACGATTCTTAGGTGAGACGAACCCAAAATAGAAAATTTATCACCCAGGGGCAAAAAGAAACGTAGTCAAAGTGTCAAAGTGCTGCTGTGCAAAATGCCCCATTATCAAGGAAATTAGGCGATGTGATAGTCTTTAGAAAATTAAGCGATGCGGCAGTAAGTTCTGCTGTATTCGGAACTGAACACAGATAACCTAAAAGGAACGGAACTGTGGGAATCGAACCCTTGATATGCTTTCGCGTTTCTAACCTCTACGCTAGTGATTTTTTGTGCTCAGGCAAATCATGCTTATTGTAATTGGTATCTTAAAGCTAGAAAATGTAGAAGAAAAACACACCTTTTTGCATTCGTCCCTTCTGCGAAAACCGAGACCATACACATCCGAAATGTTGCCAGTTTTTTCCACAAAGAACACAAACCTCTTGGCCTGACATCTTATGTGCAGCTGCGACGCGAACAAAATGCCTTCAAAAATGGCATTATCGCCATCATAAGCAGCCAACTTCGTCTGACCGTCTTTCATATCCTGATACACTTGTAGTGGTACGGAATACTCGGTTAGTTCTTTCCATGCATGCCCGTCCGTCTTGAAAATCTGAACCGTGACGACAAGAATGCGTTTTCGTTCATTCTCCATCATAAACGGTCCCTTTGCATTCGACCACGCAGGATCCATTCTGCAAAAAACAAGAATTTGTGTGACTTTCAGAAAAAAGTGGTGAAAAGTTTGTTTCTGTCCGAAGTAAAGGAATCACAGTTTCAAGGATTGCACGGAAGTAGTTTCTTGGAGTTAGCCATCCATAGTAATGCTCAGATATCAATTTTGGACGAAATTAATACGAATTGTTTAAAGCAAACTTTTGGTAGGTTTTCTAGGCAAATAACCGAATGGTGGAACGCAGTTTGAGAAAGCCAGTTCCAATCCCGCCAGTGTACTGCCTGAGTTTTTATGCACCAAACGAATCGTACCGCCACTGTTCCAGATTTTAAAGTCAGTCATTAAATTAAGCAAATCCATCAGAGGGGCACGAATACGAGGGGGGCGTATTTCCAATTTTAATTCTCCGCCTGGTCTATTTTTACTTACGAAAATGCTAAAAGACCGTCCACACGGAAATGTGAGCACAATTTATTTAAAAAAATATGAGAATTAAAGTCGAATTTATCGGAGTTACCAAAAATGTCATATTTAATTAAACAGGTCCTTTTCTGTGCTATTTTGCTAAAACTCCCAAATTTTTGCTTACGCTACTGCTGCGTATTATCGTCGTTTCATTTTATTTCGGTAGGAAATTTACCAAAACCACTAGGAAGCTTACCAAGACCACTAGGATGTAGGAGATGCCACTCGCAACCCTGTAACTTCCCTTCCCTGTCCCTTCTTCGCCCCTACCTCTCCTCTACGAAATTAGCAGATTGCCTCAGCTTGAGAATACCTTTAAACACGTTGAAGTGACGCAAGTTCTTGGACTGCCGAAGACGGTGAGAAAACCGCACACGGGCACACACCTTTGCGAATGAGATCGCTCAAACCGAAGATATGCATGATTTATGCGTGGTTTTTGGGCAAGAGGCAGACTGGGCATGCCATTCCACGACAAAGGATTTCCAGGAATAGTCGCCAGCCTAGAGCGAGCAGTATTCTCACGACAGAGACGGAACGCGCTTAAGCGCGATTTCTTTTTTTTATGCGTTTTTTGCAGTTATGCAATGCAAAAAACGCATATTGACGAGAGGTTGTCTGT